GTAACACACGGCGCTGCAATTTCCAACAAGGGCAAGCAAGCAAGAAAAAAAAAAAAAAAGACATTACATTTTTTTTTTCTTTTAGGTGTCAGAATCTTTACGAACTGAAGAACCACTCGACGCCACAGTTTCTAACCAATTCAAGAAGAAAAAAGTTTTCGCAAAAATCAAAGCGGTTGAAAACCTACCAGGAGCACACATTTTCACCTTTACAACAGTAAAAAAAAAAAAAAAAAAAAAAAAAAAAAAAACAATTCGAAGCGTTATATAAGCCGCAGCAAGCGGAAATACCCAACAGGTTCCCACCCGAAAATCAAGAGCCCCACGTTTGTGACGACACGCCAAGTCAACGACGCACGCGCAAGTGATTTCCTAACACACACAAAAAAAGTGCTGGCAGTTTTTGTAGTTTTACGCACTAGTCAAAAAAAAAAAAAAAAAACAGAAAAATCTAGTAATATGCCCGCTACTACACTCAAAACCCTTGCCAACATAGACCATCCAATAAACGCTCGCGTGCTTGTTGAAGGAGAATGAAACCGGCGTACAAAGAGCGGCACCCGAAACAAAGTTCGACACTGGCATCATCGACGCCTCCACTCTGTATATGCCATCCACCTTCCTCCACATTCCCAAGGCCCACGAGAGACAGAGTCCAGCCACTTTGCTGTTACACAGCATTCCCTACGGAGGGGAAAAAAAAAAAAAAACAACAACAATACGTAAACAGTTTTACGCCTCCGCGGCCGAGGCAGGACAGACCAGAGAAACGCCTTTCACCAACGCTCACAACAACTATACCTTTCTGTTTGCGGCAATGTGTTTCCTAAATGTTTTTCTTCCCCCTCCTTTTACGTCGTTTCCTTCTTTCGTTAATTTTCTTGTCACGGCCGGCGATTTCAGTTTCCAGCGGCGTGTTCTCTGGCGCCTGACTGACAGCCGTCGAGGGACAGGCTCAAAGCGGAATCGTGCTGGGCCAGTGAATTTCGAGCCGCCACTAAAGACTCGGCTCAGACGACGGAAACCCAGGTGTCGGCCGACACAAACAAAACGAAGACAACCCCCTGTAAACTTTCGGGTCGTTCTCCCCTGTGTAATCGCGCGTCCACAGGATGCGGCCGACAGACTTATGACGGCAAACCGTCGGAAATAGGTATACGAGTAGAACAGTGTTCTCCCCGTCAGCTCGACACTCAAATCTGCGTTGAACGAGTGAAACACAGTGGTCTCAACTCCAGCTGATCTTCCCAGATCTGAACTGAACAATTGAAAAGTTTCAGTCCTCGTTTCGTGCAAAGAGACGGCTAAGTTAAACAAAGCTTGCAAAGAGGATCAAACAGTACAAAAAAGAAAATATATACATAAAGAGAGTTACGAAACGACAGGACACACACATGTAAGCTCACACGGTGTCAATGGCCGTGGTTACATGTCCATGTTTGACTTTTTCTTCCGTCCGTAAACTCGTAGGCGCAAACAGAGACAGCCACGAAGAGTGGGAAGCGGACAAGCGCTTGCAGGTTTTGTGTACAACTCAGAGGCGTGAGTATTGATCGAGAAGTAGAACGCAGTATATTTCTAGATCGTTGGTGCGCGCTCGCATTCGGGTGTGAACCGAAATTGGACACGACAAAGGGGAGGGCGACTCGCTTGGCGGGCTTCCCAGTCGGAGATCGGGCACATTCCTCAAACGTCTCGGACGGCGGTCCTGTCACCTGTGCATCGTGAAGCGAGGAAAGGAGCACAACCGTGACGGCCCGAGGATGTCTAGGAGAGGGTACGAGGTGCGATGCCACAACGGGATAAAAGGATAAAAGCCGCCGACAGGGAGAGAGAGAAAAAAACAACAGAAAAACACACGTAAGAACCAAGTCCGCATCATCATCTCGCATTGCGAGCGCGCGCCCAGCAGTGTGGCAAGGTCGCGCCCGTCTCGACCGGGGGACCACACGAGAAAGGAGATCGCGCGCGCCTTCCTGCTCGACTCCAGGGAAGAAGAAAACGCACACCCGGGTCCAACTTTCTCCGACAGAAAAGTTGTCCCAGAGCCCCACGATTTTCTCGGCGGCGCCGCCATTTTGGCGAAGCGTAGATCGTTTACGAATCGAAAATTCCACTCGGCTTTAGATAACGGTGTCAGGGAGCTCAGGCGTCGCGGACGGTTTTAGAAATTCTAGGGCAAGCAAAAGCGTTTCCGGACATTTCAGATAATGCTCCAGATAACAGGGAACAATGAGTTTAAGCACCACGGTGCGACTCTCTCGCCGGGGGAAAGAGGCGGGGATCGATATTTTTAGTCTTTTTTTTTTTGTTCGCGGTCCCCCAAAGGTCATCCTGGTGATATCCCACACCGCCTGGTGATTGTTACGAAACTGCAGAGGGTAAGTAAAGAAATCGTACTTTTGGTTCTTAATTTCTAGGCTAGGTGGCGCGAGCTATTGCCCGTTAGCATCCATCCATCCGGTGGCTGCAAGCGTGAAGCGTAGCTTATTTAGGTTGGTCTCGTCTCAAGCAACCAATGGTTTGGTTGCCGTCGTCGTATAAAACATGGACCCGTAAATAGTACCTACAAACTTTTTTTTTTTTTACTAAATCGAGAAAACAGCGCGACAGAGAGGCGAGTAGAAGTGGACGGGACGAGCGCGGACTGAAAACTAAAGTTTATTGAAGAAACAGATAGAAACCAGCCACAATAACCAGGCACGTAGCCAGGATTTTGTTTAGGGGGGAGGGGGGGGGGGGGGCACGACAAAATGCTGTATGAGGGGGAGGGGACGTCCCAACAAAATGGAAGATTTCGGGGGGGGGGGGGGGGGGGGGAGGGGGGGCGTGCCTGACAGTAACCACTATCAAAATTTAGTCATAAACCAACTCACCTGCATCGCCACCTTCATTTTTTTTTTCTTGCTACAAACGATTTAGATTATGGACGATTCTTTTTCGGTGGAGGGGGGGAACGAAGGCGCCCACAATTAACGAGACACGGCTCTATCCGTGTGAAGCTAACGGCGCATTTACAAGGAACCCCTAATTCGCAATAAAAAAGAAGTTCTTAAAAAAACAAAATAAGGCATCATCACATAGAAAACTTAGCGAGAGCTAACCAGAAGGAAAAGCTGCAGGAGAAACCGACCACCACGTAAAGCCCCACACCCGACGGCGCGCGCACCCCCCACCCCTCCCCCCCATACCCCATCACACGAGCCCATCGTTCACCCCCGAAATCGACCGACTTCGCGGAAAACGGGTTATATCAGCGCGAGGCGAGAAGCAGGGCACTCCGGGTGACTACCCTCTTTTTATTTCTCCATCTCAGCTTTCTTCGAGTGAGTCGGGCGGGCGGCAGGCAACGCCGAGTGCATCCCAAGAAGGTGCGCGCGCGTAGACCCCCGAGGGGCAAGACACTCCCTGAATGCCAAGGAACTCTAGAAAGAGCCAGCGCTCGACCGTAATCTGCACGAATCGCCCGTTCCAAGTGCCGAGCCCTCGACGACTCTCGAAGAGCGGGTGGGGCATCAAACTTCGCCACAACAACAATTACTCCCTAGAGAATTTCACACTACGAAAATGTACCCTTCCCGTTGGCACGGCCTCATCTGACTGAATTAACCGCACGTCTAAAACTGCATCAAGCCTGCATATAGCGTTCCATAGCCATTGTATAATCTATTTTCTCTCGTATACCAACTCCATGGCCCTTTGGTTTGTAACGAGTCAACATCGTATTTACTATAATAAGCATATTTTATCTCTGTCGAAGCTCAGTGTGCAATAATAATAATAATTTCCCATAAAGTTCATGATGGAAGGAGGCCCAGGAAAAAAAAAGAAAACAAAATCTGCCCATATGCAGTTTCTCAGTGCGTCAATAACGCACTCGTAACACCGCTCATAGCAGTAACACTTGTGTGTGACACTACACACTCATTAACACGTTTGTGTGAAAACAGGGATGGGCAAAATACATGCAAATATGTATCGAAATACAAATACAAAATACTTCGTCAAAAATGTATTTAATTACAAATCTAATTAAATTTCAAAAAAAAAACATTTAAGTACAAGATACAAATACAACCAAATGTATTTGGTCTCCTCCAAATACTTTTCCAAATACATTCCTCAAAATTTGCGTCAGCGACTTCAGGGCACCTGCAACGGGTTTCTGGGTATTTCATTTTAATTTTGCATCGCATACTCGGGAGTTAGTGTGAGAGGCTCTGGTAACGTAATAGAAATATAATCACAAAAAAAAAAAAAAAAAATGTAATCAGTTTGGACGTAATAGGTGAAAAAAGTACAGAGCTTCACGCAGCTTTTTTTGTCGATTACATTTTGTATAGACCAACAAAGAACCGAGACGACCAAGACGCGCAGCACTAGCTAGAGCATTTTTTATTGTTGCAACTCGCACCAGTTACGAAAATCTGGACGACCCGCGCATTTAGAATGTTCCACGCAAAAATATGGAGGGAAATCAGGCTGGAAAGCATCACAAGTTGTCACAGGCACTTATTTGGCCAGTCTGCCTGCGAACGTCGATTTCGTCACTACTCTTGCCCTGGACTAGTGCCGTAATCACAGTCAAAAGACGCTTGTGCTTGATTGAGAGACACTGCATTCGGCGCAGAACGTAGTTTCCTTCGAACGTAGTTTTCTTCCCGCTCTGGACGGTGAAAATAAATTTGAGGGATGTATTTTGGCCCACAAAATTGTATTTGAAATACCCACGTTTTAGTATTTAAGTACACACGTCAAACACATTACCCAATTCGTAATTAAATACAAATGCAAACTACACAAAGTATTTGAAATACGTATTTCAAATACTTGTATTTGAAATACTGCCCATCCCTGAGTGTAAACAAGCGTTCTTCGCAGCTTCGGTTCCTTAACCCTTTCCCATTTGCGCCAATGTCCGTCAATAAAAAAAAAAACAAAAAAACAAGGGGCTTCTAGATGAATTAATTCGCGGCTCGGCGTCCCGTCCACGGGCTCACCTGCGAACTGGACGACCCCTGACTCGCAGTAGTACAGCCTCATTCCGGCGACGGCGACGCAGACCGTGCGGCGTTGCCGCTAATCCACGAGCCGACGGCGTTTCCTCCGACGCGAGCCCGTCGACGGCCGGCGGCGCACTGGCCGCCTCTCCGCGTCGCCGTCTATTTCGGGGCCGCCTCCGCAACTTCCCTTCGGCAAAGCGCCTCGCCGCGGCGCTCCCGATCGCCGCACGATGCCCGCCGGGGGTCAATCGACATTCGAGGCCGCCGAGGGTTTTCTGCCTCGGACAGCGGCGTCCAGTAGAGCTCCATCAAGGAGCCGTTAGAGCACCCGTTCCCACGACGGCGGCACCGAAAACCGCGCCATTCACCGGCTGCCCAAGCCGATGGTGTAGTGCATCGGGCGCGGATGCCCGACTCCAATCGCGGCGCCGAGATAGATCGCATCGAGAGGAAAAAAAGAAAAGGTTCTCACTCGAAATTTGTCACGGTGCCGGCGGCGCTGCCACGGTCGCGCCGGAGCAAATTGTACCGTCACTACTGGGAGGTTGTCCCGTCACAGACAAACCACTGCGAGCGCGTGCGTGACTTTGTTGATTCACTGGTTTCGTGTGTACGGGCGAAGCGGCAAGATCCATATTGCTCACGGCGTGGGCGAACAGAAAAAAATATGAAAGTGACAGGGATATAGAGGTTTCGAGAGTGGGACGTGTGCGTCTTCAAAATGAGGCTAATAATCACCGATGCGGGTGGGAATTTAGCACGTAAAGCACTCCCACTAACTTGAAGTCTTCAACGTGCCCGGCAGAATAGTGATTACACGACCGCGTGCGTGTACATATACCAAGCTCGTACACGATGAAAGTGTGTGTGTGTGTGTGTGTGTGGGGGGGGGGGGGGGGGGGGGGGGGTGATCCAACTCGGAAGTGATCCGAAATTGCCACAGTGATCTAGCGGGTGGACACTTGCCGTAACGCCGAAGTAATGCCATTTCTTCATTCTTGCGAGTTAATGACGCGTAGTTTCAAATAAAAGTCGTCGAACCGCTGCAAGCACACCTTGTATAGGGAATCCAAACGCAGCATTTCCATTAAAACCTTGGATTGAGTTAGTTAATTTGTAATTTCAATGGCATTAAAAAAAAAACCTTCCTGTATTTTTTTTTTAGCTTTTTAATATTATTGAAAGCACTCCCACGCTGCGTGTGAAATCACGGCCCACGACCCCACTGTGCCACATTCACAAACAACGTGGATATGACCCCTACCAGGAGGTTAGAAGTGGAATAGTCCAGGGATCGCGAGAAACAGCCGAAAACTGCCAATCGGAAATCGAACAAACCCGTCAAAACGGAGACGACAAATGCGCCAGAGACAGGAAATTGCACATATTCCAACCGGACTTCGACGATGCGAGAGACAGCGTCACCGACGCGAAGGGAAAAGATAAAAAAACACGGGACACTTACGGCGCGTGCCCAAAGAGTGACGTACCGGTGCCATCAAAGAACGAGAAATAACTCATTCCCTCCTATTCTCTCCGAGTTCGCGTATCAGCATCACGTTACAGCGCGCGTCCGTCTATATTTACGCCGCCGCACACACCGACGCTGCCACACGGCCGTGGCGGCACCGCTCAAACAACCGGCGGCCTCCAATGCTCGCGATAACGAAAAAAAAAAAGAAAAAGAGAGAAAGAAACGAATTAAACAACGGGCCGCGAATATATAGGTCGAGCACGCAGAGCAGCGCCAAATAAACGAGACACGTCCGCCGGAGATCCCTTTAATCTCAAACAGCAGCAATTCGTAAATATATATATATATATTTATATATATATTTATAAAAAAAGACAGCTGTCCGTGGAACGCAGCACATAGCGGACCGATCGTGCTCGTCTCAAATACACGGCACTTGAATCGACACCTTCGCGGGTCGCGGCAAGAAAACAAGAAGAGAGCCTTTTCCGTCGCCTTTTCGTAGCCAATTGGAGCGACGCCCGACGCGTAATTGCTACCGTCGCCCCACCGGCAATCCCGTCTTTGGACCAGACTGCTGGGCGGCGTTTATCCACTCCCGCAGACCTGCAATCCGAGAAGCGGCGGCGCGTGGCATCGTCGACAAGTCCCTTTTGTCTAGAGTACGGTCGGCGGCGCCTTCCGTCTGCGATCGTTTCCGGCACTGGGCCCGCGAGGGTTCCGTTCGGCGGACCAGTGTGGACGACGTGATCCGAATCGACGGGATCGGACGCTGCCTCGACGCGCGCAAAGACGCTCACGCGAGGGAGTCTCCTCGAAATTGGTAGATTGCTCCTCTTCGCTCGGCTGCCACGGAAATCTGTGTGTTCGGGCAGGACCCACTTGAAAGCGTACATGTGACGACGACGTGACGATGTTGACGGCGGTGTTGGTAATTTTTGGGCTTCTTTGTATAGCGTGCCCGAGCCAACAACTTGCGACACAAAACTTCCTATTCACCCGACCGGTCTGACTCGCTTAGGTGTGAAAATCTGCAGACAAGCTTACGCGGTGTTTTGGTGGAAACACCAAAACAGCCTATATAGTGTATAACGGCGTGCGCACAAAACCAGTCTATAGAGTCCCGGTGTGCTCACCAAACCAGCCTATGTGTGTGTGTCCTGGTGTGGACGTCATACAAGCTTGGTTGGCTAGTTCGCGCACAATGCGACCCCGGAAGTGTCGTGTAGGATAGAATCCATCAATCTTTAGCTACCCTATAAAGTATCGTCCCCCCCCCCCCCCCCCCTTCCCCCTTTCAGGGGAACTAACAACAATTCGTTAGCATTCCATAGTTCCAATATTCGCTAGAAGCTAACATTTTCGAGTATCCTTTTTTCCCACACGTGATATCTGAATGGGACGCGCACTCTCCTGATATTTTTGGATATTTCCACGCCCATATAACTCGACGATCCAACTTCCGAAATGCAACCCATTTCCTTCCCGGTGTTTGCTTTTTGTACGTACCTTTTTTTGTGATTCAGACGATACAAATATAACTGAGTGACTGATGGTTGTTCATTGTGACAATGTAATTACTTCTTTTAATGTTGTTTGCGTTCTGGTTCCTCATCTTTTGCGCTTTTTTTTTTTTTAATACCTCTAAAAATATGAATCCACCAGATAATTATCTTAAGTTTTCGCTCGTGATTTTTTTTTTTTTTTCTTTAAATTCGCCTGTTTATCTCAACGTGAAATGATGGATGAAACGTGTTCTCGTTTTAAGCCTTCCTTTTAGTTATCTCCGCTTTGTTTTGTAGCCCGCACCTGCAGTCGGCATAGCATTCAAAAGGACTGCCAGGATGTTCTAAGCAAATAAATTACATCCGCTGGAATTCAGGTGCGCGCAAAGCGGAGGTCGCGACGCGATGTTCAAAAGTCGCAACCTCTCGAAACAACAAGTTGTTTCATTAGTTATGAACGTGGACAAAGCATGCTCATCCACGCAATGATCCCAGAGAGAACATATACGTTAAACTCTCAATTTACACTAAACGCCACATATAAATAAAAAAAAGAAAAAAAAGAAAGAAAAAAAAACGCTAATTGCCATAAAAAAAAAAAAAAAAAAGACTGTCAACGACAGTTGTGGTGCGCCGGGTCGACAGCAGCGCCTCCGCAGCGGGCATGACGTCAGAACCGCACGCTGCAAGTCCGGTCTTAGGGCGCCGCCATCTTGCTCAGTGGGGTGCGCTTGGGAGCGGCATTGACCCGACATACGACGCCTCAGCAAGGCTTCGTAATCAAACTATGACGCGTCCAAAACCACACGCTGGTCCATACACTTTTCCAGCGACGAGCCCAGGCCAAAAAAACTGCCGAGCCAGAGGGCCGCGGACGCATGCGCGAGGCGTGGGATACTCCAGAGAAAAGAGCGACTGCGCACGCGCAAAAAGCGTTCCACAGTCCATTAGACAAAAAGACGACAGCGCGCAGAAGGCGATTCTTGCGAGAGACGGCCCCATATGTTTGTCGGCTTGTTTAGTAAAAACAGCTTCTGATTCATTTGCGGTCAAACTATACTTACTTTCCCGTACGCCCCAAGTTTCGCCCTTTGCACGATGTCCTAGGTTATTAGCGCCTCATCTCGTCTCCAGAGGACACTCAAAAAAGGCTAAATTTAGAGACGAAAGACGAGGCCATTCACCCACGTGTCACGCAGGAAGAGTAGACTCGAAGCAGGGATGCATTCTGACGGATTTACCCCGACCTTGGCTACTTCTCCGTCACGAGTTTCCCTGACAATTCCAACTCTTTTCTACGCTGCCAGTCAACACCGCTTTGGAAACGTGGGCCTCCGCTTTTCCGCGTGCACGCGTTTTTTCGATGGAAGGAAGTGACGTCCTTCGATTGCTTCCGGCGGCCGCCTTGGAACGCGCTTTAGCGACCGAGTCTTATTTTTAATATCCGGTTGCCCCTGAGAGCGCCTACAACTCACGGAGTTTGGCCGCATGACGGGAAGAGTCTAAAATACATAATTTCCGTCCGCAAAAAAAAAAAAAAAAAAAAAAAAATAAATAAATAAAAAAAAAAAACGTGGAGACGCTGAAAAATGGTGACGCCACTGTCTGCGAGGACAAGGCCTTCACATAGGGATCTTAACCCATAGAGTTATTAGAATAAACGCTAGAGGCTCAGCTGGCGCTACTGTCTACGGGACTTCCAGTTGCAAATTGAAGCAGACAGCGTGCAGTCTACATTTCCAGCCTCCCAGGGTATTCCTATGGGAAAACGCGCGTGAATGATGTCTCTTCGCCGGAAAATAACATGAATAACTTTTGTCATTTCGGTTGTACCGGATTGCGTGCACCTTTATTGGTATTGTGAAAGTGTAATTCCTTTAGTTACAGCATTTTTCCTTTACAGCCGAACGATGTTAAACTTCGCTCTATTTCACCTCTGTTTCAAGGAAGGTATGTGGAAACGAGCGACGATTCTAAGCAAACTAACGATAGAAAGGAATGTAGAGTGTGTTCAAGGTTTGCTAGCATTTCGGTGGTGCTTTTATATTGCTAATATGCCCGTCCTGTCATTGGATGAAAATGATTCCGTCGTGCATCTTTACGATCAGTTAAAGAAACATTCGAACGCAAAAAAAAAAAAAAAAAAATAAAGC